GAGACTGCCATTGTCGTCCAAGTAAGGAAAGAGAAAAAATAATCCTCATTAGTTTAGTCTTGTTTATCTATATAAAAACAATAAAACGTAAAAACCAACCAAAATATCCGTTGCAAAGTAACATGCTTTGTGCCGATGAGCTGGCTGCCCTGGGGAAATGTCGGCTTGCCTTCTCTCTGGATTGCTTATAACCTCTGTTCATGGAATCCAGAGCAGAGACGAGGGAACGGCGGGGGCGGGGGGCCCAGAGCCGCTGCGGGGGGAATTATGATGAGTTGGCACGGGAGGCTGGGCACGAAAGACCCGCAGCTGTGGGCTCCACCTTCCTGGGAGCCTGGCAACGTGATCCTGGAAGAGCTAGGTCCTGACCCGAGACAGGGACCAGTGAGGTCCCCCGGATCTAGTCCAGGCTTCCAGCCGGATCCTGACCCACTCTTGGGGACACCTGCCGTCCTACCCACCCAGCGCTGCCACCTGACAACAGCCCCTCCTTGTCCCTGAGGAGCCCCTGCCGAGCCCTCTCAATCCTGGGGGGTCTGAAGCCCCAGCCTGGCTCCGAGGACCCCAGCCAGAGTCTTGCATCCCTGGCCACAGTGATCGGTCAAGGGCGGGCGCAGGACCCAGGCTGAGCCGACGAGGCTGGATTCTGTGAGCTCGGAGCGGCAGGGTGAGTGGGCTGCCTGCCTGGGGTCAGGCCGTCCTGGTGGAGATGAGTTACCGAGACCGAGGCCCGACGGCCTTGCTGAGCCCAGCACCCACCTCCCCGGCTCCTTCAGTCACGGGTCCCACCACCTCCCGCCTTGTGCTGGAGCTGGGTGGTGCGACCTTTCGGTCACTTCAGCCAACAGCCCTAACTCGCCCGGTTCTGGCCCATGTGCCTGTGGTCCGGTCTCCGGATGGCTGCTTCTCTCCCCCTCCTGCCACGGAATTCCTCGTTCCTGGAGCAGGAATACTGGAGACAGGAAGCAGCCTCCCCCACCAGATGACTGAGTCTTGGGCACAGGCCCCCTCTATTTGTTGCTTTCATGGAGAATCCTGAAGCTCAACCCCAGAGGCCCCCAAGTCCCCACCCCACCTCAGCTCCACCTGGACTGGGGACGGAGCCGGGCCTGACCAGGTCAGGGGTTACAATGGCAGCCTCAGGCCCACCTGTTCTAAGCTACTGGACTGTGGCCTCCCCCAGCCCTGTGGGCCCCTCCCTAGCCCCCGCTCTGATCGGTCTCTCCCTCCAACACCTTTCCAACCCAGCATGCTTGGTGGGCCCTGACTCCCTGCCTGGCCCCGCCTCTGGAGTCCAACCCTGCCCCCTCTGCCCTCAGTGCCCTGGGTGGAGCCTCAGGCTCCTCCAGGACCAGGTCCACCCTCTGCTGAACTGCGAGCCTGCTGACTGCCTGGCAGGGTGACGGGAGAAAGACGCCCCTGGGGTCTGCTGAGCACATTCATGACCACAGGCAGCAGAGACGGGTCCATGCTGTCGCTGAGAAAGGCCTCAGCACGAGGAAACCTGGGAGTCCGGCGCCTCCACTTACCCAGACAGTCCCGTCCTTGTGTCTAGATCAGCTCTCTGTTTAAGAGGTGAGGAGCTGAGGCCCAGGGGAGAAGGGGTGACCTGTCCAGGCTCCACAGCCAGAGTAAAGCGAGGCTGGAACGCGGGCTGATGGACACAGGGCTCTCTTCTGCTTCTGTCCTCCGTTCCGGCCCTGGTGCCTAGGGGGGGCCTGGCCTGGGTGCAGCACAGTCGTGCGTCGCATAACTGAGTGATGGAGCCGGCCCGCTGTCCCGGAAGCTCGCAGGCTTGCACCATGCTCCGTGCCTCGCCCCCCTGAGCCCTGGCACACTCGGGCTGGCGGCGCCCGAAGCGGAGGCATGGCTGTGGTTCTTTGCCTCCCGGTGGAGCCGGGATTGTGCCCATCAGCACGAGGCAGGTGGGCCGAGTCCCCCGCCGAGGAGCAGAAGACTTGCAGAGCCGTGGTGCACACCGAGCGTGGTCTCCCAGCAGGTCCAGGTGCTCCGGGTGGCACAGCCTCTGGAGGCCAGGTGGCCACAGCAACTCCACGGACAGCAGTGCCAGGTGGGAGCCAGGGAGGTGTTGAGAAACTGACAGGTGTGGGTGTGTCCCTGAGGCCCAGAAACCAGCCTCCAGATGGCAGCAGTGACACCCACTCCACCCTGGATGCAAAGTGTGGGCGCACCACGTGGAGTGCTCCCCACGCATCATCTCATTTGCACCCTGCAACCCCCTGTGAGGTGGTGCCGGTGTTACTTTTCCACGGAGAGGTGAAAGGCCCTGCCACGTCACTGGGTGGCTGAGGGGTGCTTCTGGGACCTAGGAGGGTCCAGTCATTTCCCCGAATTGAAGAACAAGAACCAGGACATCAAAGCCAGGAAGTGCAGGTGCGAGAACAGCTGAGTGAGGGCTGTCGCGTTGAGGAAACAAGCTGACCCAGCCACGTGGAGCTTTGCTGAGAAGGCTCCCTGGGTGTCTCAGGAATGGCCGAGGCGGGGAGTGTAGCCAGGCCCGACGAGGCGGACCAGTGACTGACCCCGTGTGGTGGATTAACATGGCCACAAGCCCCACTGTGTGGTTCTGTGGATTGAGAAGCGTCCCATGCACCAAGAGGCTGCTGGTTCGATTCCTGGTCAGGGCACATGCCTGGGTGGCAAGCTTGATCCCCAGTGGGGGTTGCGCAGGAGGCAGCCGACTGATGTTTCTCTCTCATCGATGTTTCTATCTCTCCCTCCCTCTCCCTTCCTCTCTGAAATGAGTAAAAACTTTTTTTAAAATGGCCACAAATTCCTTGTTACTTTCCCCCCATGGAGAGTGGAGTTTCTCTCCCCACCCCTGGAATGTGGAACATAACATCTTTGACTAATAAAATGCAACGAAAGTAGCTCAGTGCCAACCGGGGGCCTCAGACCTGAAAGGCTTTCAGAAGCCCTGAGATGCCTTGGAAGAAGCCGTTCCCCTGCTACAGCGACCGCAGGGGGAGGGCAAGGCCCTGAGGCCGCATGGAGAGAACACCAGGCAGCCCGCCTGGCACCCACCTCCCTGAAGGCCCCAGGCACGCGAGTGGCCCTGCTGGGCGCTCCAGCCTGGCTGGGAACCAAACGTTTGCAGCATGTGGTGCACTGAGCGCAGTCAACCCACAGAATCGTGACAGTAACCGAGGGCTGTGTAGAGCCACTGGGTTTGGGGCGGCTTGTTACACAGCATAGATAACGGAAACACCCTTGGACCGGGACGCCATCGGCAACCCGACAAAGGCTGCTGTTCTCTTTCCTAGGGAGGGTGGTCTCTGACCTCTGCCTTCCGGGGACCTGGGAGAAGATACAGACCTCCCAGCTCCAGGACCAGCAGCCAGGTCGCTAGGGTCCCCATGTCCAAATTCCCAGAAGAGAGACACCAGCTCCCCGACTTGTCACCCATTGACCAGTCAGCTGAGCACAGGACATAGGCCCTGTGGGGTGGGCGGGTCCTCTCAGAAGGGAAGTGTGGGCAGAGCAGCTGCCCCCGGGGGAGTGTGACAAGGCCTCCCCTTGGGGAGCAGAGGAATCCCCAGCCCAGGGCCGGCACAAGGACAGGGCTCAGGGAAAGGTGTGCGGCGGGGAAGGGGGACGGCCCCTGCCCCAGGGTGGTTGTGAGACGGCTCGTGAGGGGGTCTGTGTGCTGTGGCTCCTGGCGTTGCTGGGGGGTGTTATTCTGCCTCCTCAAATTGCCTCTAAGGAAGATCTTCCAGGATGCTCTGAGCATCTTATGAAAGCCTTTGATGTGCTCTCAAGTGTGAGTCTAGTAGTAACAGTGAAAATGCTCCATTAAACAAGAATGAGTTCTGAAAATCACCTCGCTCCCCTCTGGGAGGCAAGAGACTGCAATTCCAGAGGGCGCTGATCCAGAGGGGCCCAGGGGAGGCTGGCAGACCCCATGTGGAGTTGGGGGACTTGGGGGTCAGCAGTCTTTCCCTTGTGCTGTCCTTCATGTGGGGGCTGCAGCTGTGTGTGTTGGGGGTGGGGGTGAAGCTTCTGAAACACAAGGAACTAACAGAGAAGACTCCGCAGAGCACCTGGGCCAGTCTCTGCCCAGGCTGGGACCCTTCCCATCACCTCTCTCACACACTCGCCTCACGTACAACCTAAACCTGCTTTCTTTTCCTCCAGCTACATGAGGGCGACAGGGCACCCTGCTCAGTGTAAGTCCTTTAAGAGCAGGGACTGTGTCTCGTTCATAGACCACCACCTCCCCACTGTCTGGCATGGGGTAGTGCTCTGTAAGCGTTTTTGTCTGCATGTGTGCATGTCTGCATGCATGAACGAATGAATGAGTGAATGAATGAATGAATGAATGAGTCAGACCCTCAGCTTTCCCATCTGTGAAGTGGGGATGACAAGTCTGCTCTGGGTAGGGTTACTGAGAGCACGAAACGAGATCACGAAATGAACATGTGACTGAAAAAGCAGGACAAACAGTGAGTCCGGAGCAGTCGCTGTCACCACCGTTACCACCACTGTCGCCGTCCTGCGGCACCCTCATCCCCAGCCACCCATCCGACCTTTCTCCTGCTCCCCAAATAACCACACTGCCTCTGGCCCACTCAGTGCTTAAGTTAAATCACATTTAATTGTTTTTCAAAAAGGAACAGAGAAGTCAGAAGAGATTCACAGCACTCACAGTCATGAGGGTTAACTAAAAGTAGAATATATTAAGCTTTTGGTTAAAAAATGCAAACGCAGCCCCAGTAACACTCACCCTTGTGTTCCCACTCGTGCACTGCTTCCAGACGCACCCCCGCGCTCAGGCATGGGCGCGCGCACACACCCACACACACACCCCCAAACTCACGCAGTCCCAGCGCTCACACACACCCCGAGCAGGGCTGGAGGCTGGTGGAAGAGGGAGAGGCCCGGTGCCATCCCAGGGCTGCCTCTCCCAACCCCCTCACTAAATGACAAAGTAGACTACACTCGGGGCTCTAGGGGACACACGCGGGATTCTGTGAGCTGTGCTTGGGGTGGGGACATAGAGGAGCCACGGCGGGGACGAGCGGCCTTAGACGATCCTGTTCTCCATGACGGCCAGCCGCTTACTCACCGCTTCCAGTGGGCTCGGAGTTAAGGAGGTGCAGGTGGCCCGGCGCAGGGCAGTCCTGCTGCGGCCCAAACAGGACCCCCTTCCTGTTTCCTGCAGTGCCACCCTTCCAGGGCTGTCTCTCACCCGCCCATAGCAGGTGTTTTCCCCAATGTCGAAACGTGTCCCACTGCCCTCAGAACGGTACTCTCCGAAAACACAGCCAGTGCTCAGAGCCCCGAAGGCCAGCCCTGCCCAGTGCAGGTTCAGGCCGGCTGCCCCCCCCCCCAGTATGACCAAGCCAGGGAAGCTGTTGGAGGCCCAGCCGCATCCGAGTGGCAGCTGGCATAGTCATGTGACCAAGAGCCTGAGAAGTGGGATGTCCATGGGCACCATGTTTTCCTCTAGACCTTGACCTCTGCCTCAGTTTCTCTGTTTACCCTTTAGGAGCCCCTGCTCTTCCCAGGGTCAGTATCAAAGCTGACATCCGCCTATCTGGCCAGAATCCAGCCCATCTTCAGCAGGAAGCAGACGAGGAGGAGCCCACACTGACCCCCACACACCTTCTCTCCCCACAGGGCACCTGCCGCTGCCCCCTGCCTCCTGCCCCTCTGGGAAAGGATATGTTTCCTGGTCAAGGCCTGCAGCAGCCCCTCCACTTTGGCCTGGAATTTCACAATGGATTCACAGTCACACGGGTCTTCCTCTGGAATGGACAGGAAGCAGAGAAAGACAGGAAGATGGTGAGCAGTTGCCAGGCAGGGGGGCTGGGTAGTTACTGCCCGGGACCAGGATTAGGGAGTCTTGGGGGAGTGTGTGGCCTAGAACCTCTCAGGGGGTGAGATATGTGGAATTCTTGAGACAGAGCTCCAGGCGTGGTGGAGGGCGACCCCCGATCGGCTTCCTGGCCCCCCAGAGCCCTGATAAAGAACTCCAATCCAGCGTCACTGCGCTGAGCACCTGCTGCGTGCCTTATGTCATCATGGTGACTCCTCACCCCCATCCTGTGTGTTTGAAGTCGTTAATGCCATTGTACCGATGAAGAACCAAGAAGTGAAACAACCGGCCCCTGGTCAGCAGGCAAAGCGTCAGAGCAAAGACGCACACGCAGGCCGTGCGGCTCTGGAGTCCACGCTCTACCACCGGGAACAGCAGGCAAGGTCACCAGCAGGGGCAGGGGAGGCGGCAGGATTCAAAACCCGCTCCTCGGTTATTTACCATGTTTCACCCCTCTGACCTTGGTTTAACTGTCTGTAAAGTGGGGATAAAAGATTCCTACCACATAGAATTGAATGATTTACTATCTGGAGAGCACAGAGGAGGGGCATTTGCGTCATGAGCACACATGTTTGCTGGCAGGAAGTTAGACTGGCCAGCCTACCTCCCAGTTCTGCCAAAGCTCGGTGCCACCCCAGCTCCCGCTTTTTGCCACCCACATCCACTTCCAGGATGGCTCCATGCCCCACCCCCAGAGCCCCACCTGCCCCTCCATCCACTCCGGCTCTGGTCTCACTCACCCACACAGATCTTCTTTTGCAGCTTCATGCCAATCTGGTTGATGGTCTTGAAGTCGGCCGTGTAGAAGTAGTGCTCTGCCACGGGCTCCGAGGCGATCTCCCTCAGCTCGTCCTCCACGGCGTTGCCCACACCCACGGCAAACATCTTAAAGCCTGCCGCCAGGAACAAGACAAGTAAGGGTGGAGGTGTGGGCTGGCAGCCGCGGCTCAGCCTGTGGAGGGATGCTTAGGAAATCAACACCCGATACCTCCTGGTGGCAGCTGCAGGAATTGCAGGCACAATGCCTGGGACAATGACGTTGAGGAAATGAACATTTACTGAGATTCTCCTGTATGTCAGACCTGTCCCCACTCCCTGCACTGGGAGCTTTGTAATCTCATTTAACTCTCATAACCATCATCTGGTGGTTATTATTATCCTCATTTAATAGGCAATAAAACGAGGCTCAGGTGTGTCCCAAAGTGGGCTGCCTTTCCACAGTTGTTATGTTCCTGGGAACATTCAACTAGAAAAGTTCCAAGTCCCCAAGGACCATCAAAAACAAGCCATTTTCCCGGCCAGTGTGGCTCACTGGTTGAGCATTGACCCATGCACCAAGAGGTCACCGGTTCGATTCCCAGTCAGGGCACATGCCCAGGTTGTGTGCCCAATCCCCAGTGGAGGGCATTCAGGAGGCGGTCAATCTATGTTCTCTCTCATTGATGTTTCTATCTCTCTCTCCCTCTCCCTTCCTCTCTCTCTAAAATCAATGAAGAAAAAATATTTTTGATAATAGATAGATAAATAAATAAATAAAACAAGCTCTCTACTTTCCTGGGGCCTCAGTTTTGTCACCAGTATAAGAAAGACATGGATGAACCGATCCTTGCTCACTCAAATTGAACCTGGGTTTAGGGCACCATTCAGAATAGACAATAGGATAAATTACAGTTGGGTTGTACCATGTACCCCTGGCCATCAGTGGTGTCCAGGGTCCAGGCGGGAGCACCTACCAAGGTCCTTGGCCTTCTTGGCAGCATCATTGATGTAGTCCTGGCTCCGGCCGTCGGTGAAGACAATGCCCACCTTCTGGGCACCAGGCCTAGCCCCACTGGACACAGTGAAGGAATTGTCGATGAGGTACTTCAGGGCGGCCCCGGTCATGGTGCCCTTTTCCATGTAGGACATGTTTCGCACAGCTGCCTTGATGTCCTTCTTGGTGTGGTAGCGGCCCAGCGGGAACTCCTGGCGCACGGAGCTGGAGTACTGCACCAGCCCCACCTGGGCCAGCTTGTCTGACACGTCCAGCGTGTCCACGATCTGGTTGATGAACTTCTTCACCAGCTCAAAATTCTCCGGCCGCACACTCTTGGATCCATCAATGAGGAAGACCAGGTCAGTGGCCGAACCGCCACCGCCACCGCTGCAGACTGGAGAGTGTGGGAGGGCAAGGAGGTGAAGCTTCACGACAGTTTTCCATCTGCCCACTGGCTGGGTACCTACCACACACCAAGCTCTGTGCTGAGCACCATCCCATCTTGTCCTCAAAACTCTCTGCAAAGCCCAGTGTTACAGCATTGAACACTGGAAACTCACATGGCTCAGAGGTAGTGGCACCAAGATTTGAATTCAAGATGTGTGACTCCCTCCACCACACTAAACCCACCACCCATTGTGTCAAAAAGAGGAAATCAGAAGAGAATTTTCAGCCGACATCAAACTCTAGAAGGAATCTGTCACCTTTGCAGACTGGTCCAGAGCAAGGTGTGGGAAGGTTCGGATGGGCTGGGAAATAGCCGAAGCCCCATCCCCCCCAGTCCACCCTCTCCAGGGCTGCCTGCGTCCAGCCCACTGACCATTGCAGGTCTTGCCATCGCTGTTCAAGGTGAAGCCCTCACGGCAGGCACAGGTGTAGGAGCCTGGAGAGCTGATGCACACCTGCTCACAGTCATGGTCTCCCGTGGCACACAGGTCTGACACCACTGCGGGGACAAGAAGAGACTCAGAACCTCAGGAGATTCAGAATCATTACAGGGCCTGGACTCTCTCAGTCAGGATGGGCCCTCACACACTCAGGAAAACTGAGGTCCCCCACTGGGTGGGGTCCAGGCCCCAGAGCCTCAGCCCAGGGCCAGAATCACTGCACCAGGACTGACATCCCTGAAGACGGTGATGATACTGATGATGAAACTAAAACTTCCTGATAAAAAGGTACAGGCCACGGGGACAAGAGCTCGTTTTGTTCTGTTTGGTTCACTGCTGTATCCCAAGTGTCTAGAACAGCACACGCAGCAAAGAACAAGCATGCTCAAGGCGCTCAACAAATGTTTAAAGCCACCTGCTGAGCGCTTGCCATGCGTTACGTCATTGAATCCGCACAATAAGATGCAAGTTTTTCTTAGACCCATTTTAAAAATGGGGAAAAGTCCTTGCCCTGGCCCCGCCCCACCTACTCGAGACCCCATTCCCTTCTGACAGGTCACATCCCACAGGCCCACCTCCCTCTTCTAAGGACTCTGAACCTCCTGCCCAGTGCCCCAGCCCCTCAGACTCTCCCGCATCACGGAACATTTTGGCACCCAGTCCCCTCCGCCCCCATCCAAACATGCACAGGTTTTTTTAGGCCCTCTCTTGACTGGATTCCCACCCCTCTTTGGTCCCTACCAGCACCCTGCCACAGAAAAGGGTTCTTGGTATCGCCTCTTCCGAACTCCCTTCTGCCAGGCGGAGGACCCGCCCGCAGATCAGCACCGGGCCCCAGCCCTGGCCCCGCCCCCGATGCTGGCTCTATCGCAAGCCCCGCCCCCGATGCTGGCTTTATCCCAGGCCCCGCCCCTGGTCCCGCCCCTGGTCCCGCCCCCGATGCTGGCCCTATCCCAGGCCCCGCCCCTGGTCCCGCCCCCGATGCTGGCCCTCTCCCAGGCCCCGCCCCTGGTGCTGGCCCTATCCCAGGCCCCGCCCCAGGCCCCGCCCCAGGCCCCGCCCCGCCCCGCGCACAGCAGAAGGCCTCCTGGAACTTCTTGGACAGCTTCTCGATGACGCTGTAGCTCTCCACGTAGTCCACGTGCTCCTCCTGAGGCTCGCTGGCGATCTGGCGCAACGTGGCCTTGTCCACGCGGCCCACGCCAATGGCGAAAAGCTCGACGCCGCTGGCCCGGGCTCGTGCAGACACGTCCCGCACGCTGTCCTGGGGCCTCCCGTCCGTCACCACGATGACCACCTGCAACACGGGAGACACCTGTGAGGAGCGAGCCCCGCTCCCGGCGCGAGGCTCGGGGCGCACTTGGCCCTCCAGCAACCCCGGGACCGCTGGCGGGAGAGCGGACTGAGGCGAGTTGGTTCAGGTGGATCTAATTCCCCTCCAGAGTTCTACGCCAGGGAACAGAACAAGGCTCGAGGAAGAGAAGACAGGTCTCCTCTGACTGGAAAAGACTAGGCTGAGGTGTTCTCCCATCCGACTAGGGCCCCGGATGTCGCCTGCATCAGGCGGACCGAGTTCAGAACCGTATCTCCCTCGCCCCAGGATGGGGCCTGGGACGAGGCCAACGCCGTGCAGTTCTGCCCGCTGGCCACCAGAGGGCGGCAGAGGAGCCATTCCCACAGAGAGGTCCAACAAAGGAGAGGTGACCACCTTTTCTCCCTCCATTCCCTGATGCTCTGTGTCCTTTCCACAGAGGGAAAGACTGTCTGCTGTCCTCGCACAAAGCTCTTCTGTTCTCCACCCTGCAAAGGGAGGCAGAGGGGACCCTGGCGCTGAGCCTGGCCCTCCTCACCCCTGCTTGAGCCTGCCCTGAACCTGGGTCCTCGCAGCTCTGCCGGAGTCTGGGACTCGGCATCTGCGTCCTTGGCTGCTTCTCAGCTTCTGACCTGGATCTGCTTCTGACCCCTGGGTCCCCACCCCTGGCCCGGTGCCCAGGCCTTGTCTCGTGACCTGTAGGATAGTGGATTAGACAAGCTGGGTTAGAAATGCAGCCCCCCAAGTTACAGCTCACCTTCGAGCCTGTTTCTTCATCTGCAAGAAGGGGGTGTGGTGAGGTTCAAGTGAGGTGATTCGGGGTACGAAGCCAGGAAGGGGAGCTATTATTTGTAGTATCACTGCCCTGGGTCCCCTGGGGAGTGAGCTTGCACAATCTCTACCCTCAGAGGCCTGGGCTCCTGGCCCTAGAACCCTGCTGAGACCATTCACTGCGCGGGCACGCCTCTGAGCCCTAGAACCCTGCTGAGACCATTCACTGCGCGGGCACGCCTCTGAGCCCTAGAACCCTGCTGAGACCACTCACTGCGCGGGCAGGCCTCTGAGCCCTAGAACCCTGCTGAGACCATTCACTGCGCGGGCACGCCTCAGCCCTAGAACCCTGCTGAGACCATTCACTGCGCTGGCACGCCTCTGCGCCCTAGAACCCTGCTGAGACCATTCACTGCGCGGGCACGCCTCTGAGCCCTAGAACCCTGCTGAGACCATTCACTGCGCGGGCACGCCTCTGAGCCCACCGGCTCCCTCGGGCCCACTGCGCCTCTTCAGCCCAGTTCTGGGACTTTCCGTCCACGTCGTAGGACGTTCCACAGGTCAATTCCAGGCTGAACACCTAATGTCTGGTGCCAGCTCCCCAGGCCTCTGTCTCTGTCTCAAGTATTATAGAGAAATTCTCCTCACTTGCCCATCCCAGGCCACTGGGCTGAGCTGGGGTGAAGCAGTTAACTCTGCAGATGGGACAACTACAGATGTCACCTCCATCCCCTTCACCTCTCTCCACGGACCACCTGGGGCCGCCATATCCTCCCAGTTACCATGACCATCCACCTCATGTCAGAACTTATAAGTGGCCCCCACAAAATAAGACCACCAGGCTGCCGGATGCGCCATTTCTTTGAGGGCCACGATGGCAGGGGTTTATGCTACTGTCTGCGAACACTTCTACCGCCTTGTAGCTGGGCAGGCTGCTTGCGCTCCCTGTGGCTCGTCTGTGAAATGGAGACTCCGCCTCCGAGCAGGAGCGCGTTCACTTGACACTCACGTCTCAGCCATGCACTGCACGCCCGAGAGTGGGTACAGAAGGGGTAAGAAAGAGTGTGTCCCTGGGCTGGGGCCCCGGGCAGGTAAACGGCGAGTCCTCGGTCCAACAAGGGCAGCGATGGGGAGGTGCAGGAGCCTGTGGGAGGACCAGTGGGGGAGAAGACACCTGACTGGACTCCCGGGCCCTAGGCTGGGTCCTGAAAAATTACCCCGTGGGTCCAAGGTCTGTGAAAGTGCTGAGCACTCTGCCTGGCGCCCTCGCTGGCTGAGACTCGGGGACCCGTGCCTCGTGTTTCTGGGCCCCTGCCATCTGAAACTTGCTAAATAAAAAACTAGTTAATGCTCGTATGGGGCTCATTGGCACCAGGGGCTGCTCTGAGCACTTTGTGCTTATGAACTCACGTAGTCCTTGTTGGAGCCCCTTGAGAAGGTGAGGAAACTGAGGCATGCGAGATGAAGTAGCCCACTCAGGGGCCAGTACGGTGGCGCAGGGACCGGAACCCACACGGGCCAGTGGCAGTGCTCAGCCCGTAACCATCACACAACCATCTGAACAGCCCACTCTGCCTTCGGGAGCACAGCCTGGCTGGGAAGCCAAGGTCAGCTGAACTGAAGTGCTCACCTGGGGTCAGAAGGGTGGGGACAGATGGGTGCAGCGCTGCCACTTCTCTTAGTTGGGTCTGCTCCCCAGCTGTAAGTGGTCACCTCGTAGGGTGTTGGGAGAATTCGAGCGTGTGCAGGCAGAGCCCACAAGCAGCAGGACCACAGCAGGGCAGGGGAAAGCGTGCAGGTACCTTGCTGATGTCGGGGGACCTGTTGCGACCGCCCTCAGCGTCACTGAAGGCCGTGGTGATGGCGAACTGGATGGCCAGACCGGTCATGGTGCCAGTGGACAGCGGCCGGATGCGGCGCACGGCCTGCAGCAGCGCAGCCTTGGAAAGGTGGGCACGCAGCGGGAACTCCTGCTTCACTGAGCTGGCGTAGTTGACCACGCCCACGCGGGTGGCATTGGGCCCCACATTCAGCGACTCGATGACCTGGGACAGGAACACCTTCACCTTCTCAAACTCCACAGGCCGTACACTGCGTGAGCTATCGACAACAAACACCAGGTCTGTGGGCCGGGTCCGGCAGAGGTGCCCTGGGGAGAGGAGGGAGACGGCAAGGGGCAAGGGGCAGGGTCAGGAGGCTGGACCCAGACACTCAGGAAGGGAGCAGAGCATCGGGGGTGACGTAGACCCCACTGGAGGCCTCGGGCAGGGCAGACGACTTAAGCCAGGCCGTCCTGAGCCTTTGTGAGCATGAGCCTCACAGCTCAGCTCCTGGGGAACAGAGACTCACGTTCCGGCCTTGGGCAACTCACCTCACCGCTCTGAGCCTCAGTTTCCTCCTCTGTACAATGAGCTGATGACCCTTTCCTTACAGGATCCTTTAAGGACAAGCAAGATTGCCCAGAGGTGGCCGGCGCAGGGCCGGGCCTGCAGTGGGTGTTCCAGGAGCCACGAAGGCTGGGTGGCCTTTAAAACCCACTTCTCAGGTTTGAGCCCAGAGTGGCTCCGTAAACAAGGGGCAGCTGTTTCTCCACGCTGGGCAGCAGGGCACTGAGGGGGGCCCTCTGGGGATGACACAGCCTTGAAGCCCAACACCGTGCCGGTCAACATGGCCTCTTTCATCTGAACATCAAAGCTAATCACGGACGTGGACCCAGCTTCCCTCAGCCGGGCGCGTCCTGCTGGCTGCTGTCCAGGGGCAAGGGCAGAAATTTCTAGTAGCTGCCTTGGCAGCCTGACCAGGTGAGCCTCTGAGACACACCCCCAAGGAAAAATGTCTTTCCAGACGCCCTGGGAGGCAGCTTTAGGAGCTTGCGTTTCATCTGCTCCTGGGGAGAAACGCTGCCGCTTGATGAAGTCACCGGCCCGGGCCTGCCGCCAGCGGGCCAGCACCAAGGCCTTTCCCTTCCCGTCCCCAGTCCGGCCGAGCACGGCCTCTCCCAGTACGGACGCGGGATGAGTCATTCCAGAGCGTGTCCTCGGCAGCCGCGGGTCCCGGCTCCCGGCCACAGGACCCTGAACCCAGGCACCAGAGCGCCTCGAGGGGCCTCAGACATGACCTTGCGGCCACAACCTGGGCCTCTCTAGCGAAGGGCACAAAAAAATGGGTAAACTGCCCTGGCCGGTTTGGCTCAGCGGTTAGAGCATCGGCCTGCTGTCCTGAGAGACCCAGGTTCGGTTCCTGCTAAGGGCATGTACCTCGGTTGCAGTTTGTCCCCGACCCTGGTTGGGTTGGGCGGGTGGCAGCCACTCGATGTGTCCCTTTCATGTTGATGTTTCTCTCTCTCTCTCTCTTCCTCTCTCTCCCTCCCACTCTACCTGAACAAAAAAAAAAAAGGAAAAATGTCCTCAGGTGAGGATAAAAAAATTTTTTAAAGGGTAAACTGAGGCCCAGAGAGGGAGAGGGACATGTGCACAACACAGAGCAGTGTATCAAGACCCAGGAGGCTCCGGGGCTCTCACTGCGTGGTCTTAGGTCCTCCCCTGTCCAGCCTCAGTTTCCCCACCTGTATAGGAAGAGTTGGGCATTCGAGGGTTCAGTGCCCAAGTCTGAAACTCTGGAAGTGGTACAACCTGCAGGGAGCCCACTCCAGGATGTGCTGAAAGGGTGGGGGACCAGAAATGGAGTCTCCCCGCCCCCCGAGGTACGTGCATCACAGTCATGTGCTCAGCCCTGGCACAGTGCAGTCCCAGACATCAGTGACTCTGCGTAGTTTCTGCCCTCAGTGACCCAAGAGACAGTGGTCCCTGCAGCATGCATGGCCCTTGAGGGCAGCCCAGGGCTGCGAAACCCCAGGAAAGGCTGTGGGCTCTGGAAAGAAGCCCACTGATATCCCCTGACAGACAGACCGAGGGTCGCTCCGGTCCTGGGCCCTTATCGTGCCACCACCTCTGTCTGCTCCTGTGTTGGCCTCCCTGCCCCTCCCCCCATCGGCTCCCATTCCATCTCTGCCCATCTCCGTGCCCAGGCCCCCGGGCTGTGGTCAGGGGCCACACATCCACTGTCCCCCACCTCACATAGGCCCCCTCACCTCTGGACTGGGGGGCAAGGCCATGCGTGCGTGGGGCCAGGTGCAGCAGCAGCAGATGGCAGAGCACAAGGGTGGCACCAGAGACCCTCATGGTCCTAGCAGCGCGGCAGCAGCCAGCACAGCTGTGGAGGCCAGTGGGCTCCTGGTCTTATCAACCTTGCTGCCCAGCCTCCCAGCCAGGAGGCCCTGCCCTGCCCCTTGCCTCCTTGGGGGTGGGGCCCCACTAAATGAAGGTAGGTGTGCGTGTGTGTGTGTGTGTGTGTGTGTGTGTGTGTGTGTTCCCCCCTCCAGAGGAGGGACTGGAGGAAGCTGGGAAGGGCGTCAGCGCCGGGCCTGTGCTGGAGCGGCCCCTCTAACCACAAGCCTCCTTTGCCTCCAGAAGCAACCAGAGCCGCAGCTGCAGTTCAGGAATCTCAGGTGGGTGGAGGTGACTCCTCCGGGCTGGAGCCGGCAGGAACCTGAAGCTGCAACTCTGAGGCCAGGGAAACCTGCCCTCCAGGGCCTCACCCCCAGCCTGCCCTGCAGCCTCTTCCACACCCAGATGCTTCTCTCTCCTGCGATTTCAACCCCAGTCTTCTCATTAAACATTTCCCTTCTCCAGCCTCGGCTGTGCCCTGCCTCTCCACGGAAGCCCTGCTCTCCACCACCCCTGGACTCACCGGGCTCTCTTCCAGTCCGTGCACATGCAAAGCGATCTGCCCAGAATGCCCTTCCTCCCACTCACTCTGCGAGACAGAATCTTTCCAGATCATAATTTGAGCGGTGTGTATATTAGTAGTTGATACGTGCAAGGCAGCAGAGAAGATAGCCAAGAGCACGGAGGTGGAGCCAGATTAGCTAGATTTGCTATATATGACCTGTGTGACCGTGGGAAAGTGACTTCACCTCTCTGTGCCTCCAATTCCTCATCTGGAAACAGGATGGACTAGAGGAACAGAGTTCTCGAGCTATCTCATTTAATTCTCTTGACAACCCTGCAAGGCAACTATTAGTATCGTTATTTCCTAGATGTGGAACTGAAAAACAGAGAGGTGAAGTAACTTGTCTAAAGTCACACAGCCAAAGTCCTTGCTGGGATAGTGCCCACGCCAGTGTTCTCAGCAACACTGCTTTCTCAGGTGTAGCTTGGTGGAGGTGCTCTCTCCATGCCCACCTCGTCCCCACTCTCCTGAGTTAGACCCCTCCCTACGCTTCTGTGCACTGACTGTCTCATCCATGAGTGGGTGAGAGTCTAATCCATTCATCTCTGCATCCAGGACCAGCCCAGGGCCTGCACAGAGGAGGCAAAAATAAAGGCTTGTAAATAAAAGATCAGAGCCCTGGCCAGTGTGGCTCAGTTGGTTGGGCATCGTCTGGTGCACTGAAGAGTCTCCAGTTCGGTTCCCGGTCAGGGCACATGCCCATGTTGCAGGTTTAATCCCTGGTTGGAGCATGTGCAGAAGACAGCCAATTGATGTTCTGCTCTCTTTCCTTCCTCCCTTCTTCTCTCTTTAAAAATCAATAAAAACTTTTTTAAATAAAAAAGTAAAGGAACATTACCAGGGATGGTCCCTACCATTGCGGCTAGGTCCAGTGGTCGGTGGGATAAAGCAAAGGAGCGTGGGCTTGGCCACCTGAGAGACCCATATTCAAATCCACTTCTGCTGTCGACCGGCTGTGTGCCCTGGAGCTGGCACTTAAACTCCCTGAGCCTTGGCTTGTTATCGCGTGGGGGGAACGGCAGCTCCTGGCCTGCCCGCCTCACCGGGACCACGTAAGGAGGCAAGGAGAGGACGGAAGTGGAGATGGGGGCGTCAGAATTATCACCTTCCCGGGGGTAGAATTGCTAACACTAAAGACCTGTGCACTTCACTCTGTGTAATGTACCTTAATCAAAGGAAATGTACAGACACTTTCTTTAAAATGATTGCGGGGCACAGCTGCCCCAACCGACTTTCTCCTCGTCTTCGTCAATAACGGCAGTCACTCACGCCACCACCAGACCCGTTCGTTCTCCCGGCAAACCTGTGATGCCAGCAGATCCGAGCATATTAGCCCATTGGTCAGATGAGGAAACTGAGACCCAGAGAAGTTCATGACTGGGAGCCACCCAGCCAGTTAGAGGCAGAGGCACGCCTGGGACTCAGGTATCAGTCCCCTTGGCCCCCGTGTAAGAGAACAAGGAAGTCAAAAGCATCTCCCTCCGACTTGCATTATTTAAGTTTCAGTTATTCATATAATTCATAGCCCCCCCCCCCCAATTTCCATTTGTTTTGGGGTTTTTTTAAATCCTCACCCAAGGATATTTTTCCATTTTTGTTCAGATAGAGTGGGAGGGAGGGAGAGAGAGAGAAACATCAATGTGAGAGGGACACATCGACAGGTTGCTCCCACATGACCCCAACCAGGGCCGGGGACCAACTGCAACTGAGGTACGTGCCCTTGACCAGACCTTGACCAGAATCGAACCCGCGACTCATTGGTGTGTGGGCCGACGCTCTCACCACTGAGCCAAACCGACCAGGCCCCCCACCCCCAATTTCCAAAACCAGCATGCTGCTGGTTTCTTTTCCCTCTGCAACATCTAAGTCTACTTCTCTTCTCCAGAGACACTGCAGGGATGACGGCGGTGGCACTTATCATGTCCCCAAATTGTGTTGTAAAAGTGCCACCCGCCCCACGTATCAGCTCCCCCAGAGCAGAGGTCTTGCCGGTCTCAGTCACCACTGAACCTCAGGACTCGGCGTGGTGCCTGGAACAGGGCATCTGGTGTGTGAACGAAGAAGTGAACTAAAAGAAGGAAGGATGATGAGGTGTCAGACAGTCAGCCATGGTGACTGCCGGTGACAGAGGCAGAGTGCTCTCCCCCCGGCCCCGCCGAAGGTGGACGAGGTGAACGTGAGCTTGAGTCCCCTCACCCACCGCCCCTCTCCCGGGTGGACAGGGCTGTGTCCAGAGCTCTGGGTACAAAGCTGTCTTGGCCGGGGCAGCAGCTGGGCCCATGAAATAGCTCTTTCAGCTCTGGCTCTGAATGGCAGGTCTATGGACTCCTCAGGGGAACACAGGCGCCTTTTCTGGGTCACTTCTCCGCTCATTAGCGGAGCCACAGAAATATGCCACAGGTAAGCTTTCAGGAACAGAGATGGATTCTCCCCAAAAAGGGGCAGCTTTCACGTTCCATAGCGAGAACAGCGGCGTACAGGGAAGGGGCCTAGAAGTTCAGCCTATACGTTGAGGAAAGAAAATAAATACTTGTGCTTTAAATGTGTGAAACATTTTTCCCCAGGAATGAAAATGGGGAACACTGTGTCGGTATTGGCCAGAGAAAGAAATGCGCCGAGGGGCCTCCCTCCAGGCTCTCCCCCGGCAGGACCCCCGCTGCCCCCTCTCCTTGTTGTCACACACCTCAGGTTGCCCAAACTCAAAGCCTCCAGTGTTCTGTCTGAGAGAGAGCATTTCTGATAAAGCGAGAGGCCCCGGGCACCGTGTGGCTCAGTGGGGATCGCACAGGCTCCGTTTCTCTCCGAGAGGGCAAACCTGGTTACCAGAGCCCCCCAGGACCAGAGATGCCACCTGGTCTAGGGCAGCACGTCCCCTCGTCCTTCACCCACCATCATCACGGTTCTGCTGGATCCAAATACGCCTTTACTGTTATTCATTCCATCTTTCTCTTTAACTCTAAAGCCACTTGCTTGTTGAAAAAATGTCTCCTCCCACTAAGAAATAACAGCCATGAAATCAGTGGTTTGGTGTAGTTTATATGTTTATTCCGATAGGCCTTTAAATAGATTAGAAACAAATTAAATTTAACTTTTTCACCCACTGACCGCCAAAAATTACCCTGCATCCTGCCAGTAGCAGGCAGGCCAGACCTTGGGATCGGGGTCTGGCTCCGCCACCTGCCGGCGCGCTGACTTCAGGGGAGTCCCTTCACTTTCTGCTCTGGGGTTTCCTGTCTGTACGTTGGGATCTGATGGCAGCGTCACCGGTTGGGGAGAAGGAAGTGTATTGAACCTGCGTCACTGTTCTGTTCTTTGTGCCTTCAGTCAGGAGAGAACAGGCGAAGCTGCTGTAACAAGCAAGCCTTCCGAGCACAGTGGCTTTAACACAAGGGTGCGTTTCTGTCTCGTGACACAGGCTGGTGCCAGACAGCCACCTCCCTGCACAGGCCCTCAGGCTGCCTCCGTCTCGTGTCCCGCCACGTCCAAGTCCTTCATCTCCAGCCACGTGGACAAGAGAGAGACAGCAAGCGTCCCTTCTACCTGCCTCAGACAGGAGTGCACATCCCCTGACTCTGCCTGGGGGTCCCGGGCTGGGATGTGAGCAGTGACCCTTCCCAATAAAAAAAGCTTCTGTGGCACTGTATCACCTCTCCACGGACATTCACACTTAGCTGGGCAGTTAAGCCACGTCACAAGCTTCTCCCAGCCAGCCTCTCTCCCTCCCCTCCTCCACCGCCCTCTCTTCTCTGCCACACAATGAGTCACATGCTCCTCGGTTCCAGCACGGTTTTTTTTTTGCCTTAATTGCTGCAGATTTTATTTCAGATGTTACTTGCTGGTTTTAGGGACTCTCACCCCAGGGGACCACGAAAGCCTCAAAGGCAGAGACGGCAACTTTTGCACAGGCCATTTTCAGAATTTGCACTCAGCAAGAGGTGGCTCGTTTTGTCTGGGGGGAAACATAAAACCTTAAATCTCAAGCTGTGAAGGAAACTCAGACATCATCTGCACAGTTCCTCCAGCCTGCCACCCATCACGCTCATTCTGGAGAGGTTGTTAAAACCACAGAGTTCACCCATGCCAGTGCCTTCTCGGGGCAGAGGGTCAGCCCGCAGCCCGAGGGGCAGCTGTGGGAGGTTCCCGGAGAAGGAACCCACTGTCCATCACGTGGAGAGAGAATGAGCGTGCAGGGAGGGCGTGGGTCTAGCACGGGAACCGTAGCAAACCCAGTCGACCCCTCCGCTTGGCCCTTCAGCCCACCTCTGGTCTGCAGCAGGCAATTCCCATCACAGACAGTGAGCAAGGCAGCCTGGGCATTTCGTGTGTGGAGGGCAACACAGGGGGGATGGGCTCTGTGAATAAATACCCCGCTTCCCACTGCCCCCTGTTGGACAGTTCTGAGATGTGCTCCTCGTGGTC